AGGGAATGCAGGAGCAGAGTTAGCCTTTTCTTTTGGCTCCTTTCCTTGTCAGAATAGAAAATGCTGATGGAGAAGGGTTGTTGTGTTTCCTATTAACTTCACTCCCATTCCTAGGTGTAATTCTGCATCTGGTTATAATACTTCAATGACTTCTGCTAGCATATCTTAGTGAAGGGACACAGGTGGCAGTTTGTTCTTTAGGAAGATGATTCAATTGGTATTGTAAACAAAAGGCCAAAAGCAAATGATTTTCAGCTGTCAGCCACAATGGTGACATTATGTGTTGCAATTATGTGAAGTGTTCCTCTGACATGCAGTTACGAGGCAATAGCATGGCTAAACAGAATCAGCAGAGAGGTTTGCATTCACCAGCATTGTGAGTGGGGCTTTGGCACCATTTTTGCTTATCAGGTTTTACCTGAAGTATAAAATTACATAGTAGATGTGAAACCTGAAATGGTAAGCTGTGCTCCCGTCCTGCCTGTCATTCAAATCCATTACCCCGAAGAAGGTAGTGTAAGACCTAAACAGATGAAGTAGCCACCTTTTGTAAAGAAGCTTAGGTGGTTTCGAGTCTTCTGTTTGGAGAGGAGAAAGCTGTGGGGATGTGCTCAAGGTTTACAAAATCATGACGGGTTTACAAAATGGAGATAAATGCATGCCAGACTTATTCGAGAAGTCCCACAAGATTGGAAAGAGGGAGCTGTACTTTAAAACAGATAAAATCAAGTAGTGAACCAATGGAAGTTTACTGTTACCACAGGAGTCTGTGAAGAGCAGAGACTATTGACAGGTTTTCAAAAAGAGATTGGACAAATTAATGGACAACAAGCTGATAGACACTATAGGGAATAGGCAGACAGGGATGAGAAGATCTACTCTAAACTGCCCTACTCCAATAACTATGGACACTGGATGGAAGGGAGAAAGAAATAAAGAATAGACCACATAGCTGAGCTAGATGGACTATCTTTGTGAGGTCATAGGCTGTCTCTTGTGGTCTAATGTCTGCTTCCAGGTTTTTGCCCAGGTCATGGCACCTGTTAGTGATGAACTTCCCTATGCAGCCATAGATACCTCTTAGTCCGTCACCAACTTAGTTCTCAGATAATAAGTCATCATCTCTTCTGTCATGTGCAAATACCCCTCTCTTCCTATTGCTGCAGAATGGTAAATGATTTTCTATAAAGACACTAGGGTACCTATTTGAGTGCTTTCTAAATGTGCAGCTGGACTGCTTTTTCTGGTGTGCAGCCGGATCTCCCCTGTGGAATGCTACGCAGATTGTCTCTTTTCCTATCACTCATGGACAACAGAAAAACTAACCTTTTTTGTGTATTTCAAAATGCTGCTGAATATTTCCTTTCCTGTATTTAAGCATCTTTTACCACATCTCATGAGACAGCTTTCATTCAGATTTTATGTTACTCTCCTCTGAACATTAATTTGTCTCCATCTCTATTAAAAAAATTATTTCAAAAAGTGTTCAAAGGGGGACATCATACTCCATGCATAACCTCACATACTGGTGAGGAGAAAGTTTGAAATTAAGAAAGTGAGATAATATCAGGCTCTGGAGAGAGCCCCACAATGTTGATATGTCTCACCTTGTTGACAGGAAACCATTCGTACCAAATCCCTGAGTCTTATTTTAGAACTGGGTCTGCATCCATCATACAGTGCTGTCACCTAGACCATGTTTTCCATTTTTTTGTGTGAGAATGTTGTGGGTGACTGTGCTAGAAAAATCATGTTCAAATCACATCAAAGGCTAGATAACCTGGCATGAAATTAGTCTGGCTTGATACAATTTCTTCATGACATACAAGGATTGTTTCTCATTGGTGTATTATTTACTAGGTAGTTGTAAATTGTTTGTCATTTATTACACTCCAGTATTGTTTTGGATATTGAAGTTAGGCTGAGTTGTTTAATTTCTCCAGTGTAATCTTATTTCCTTTTTTTATATCTGGGTCTTCCATCATCGTCAAGGGCATCAACCCTGCCTCTGTATCCCTCCGGAAGTTCAGCCTCCTCAGGCTCACAGTCTCTTTTCCTTCACTTTTATGGCTCCTCTGGCCTGCACTGTGCTAACAGTCTCATGACAGTCACATATCTCAGGCACTGTCAGTTATTCATCCTCTCTTTCTACTTCTAAATAACCCTGGTGTATCTCACTAAGCACCAGCCACTTGTTAAGTGTTAAGGGAAAACCCCTTCTTTCTCTTTCCTGGAGCATTTCATATCATTGGGAGTAGCCCCTGGTGAATAATCACTTTGCTCTTCCCCTACAAATCCACTTTTTCTGTGATATTTATTGACCTCAGCAGAGGTCAGGCTTTTGAGACCATTGACTGTTACACTGGAGATCTTCCTTTTACTCTGTGGTCCCTCTGTATTGACCCATTTCTCTTGTCACAGACTTGAGTTTACTTGCATGGATGTATTTTCCTCTGCATGTTTTTCCTTTGCTAAACACAAGGTCTGTGACAAGGATACTGGATACTCCTGGATACTGTCACAGCACATGTAATGGTTAATGACAGAGTAGCAGTTGAGGAATCAGTTTACAAGGTAAAACCAAATATGATGGTGGTAAATTTCTTAGTATATTAACTCATATAGTTTCATAGTAAAAGAAAAAACAAAACACAAATAAAATGTGAATTCCAAATGGAAGATGTTGTTTAATTGCTCCAACGTGTACTAAAAATACTCTGCTAGCCATAATACATCTCTCTTTATTTGAAAAATGTATTTTGAGTTCTTTCACAGTTCTTCTAGATTCCAGTAACACCTAGTTAATCTGAATAAAGCATACTGTTCTCCTAGCATATGACTTTAGATCTACAAATCAACTGTCAGCCATGACGTGACATTTCAAAGCTTCTATATAATTTAAGAAAATCAGCTCCTAACAATACTAAAACATCTTACTGAAATACACTAAGTTAGTAATATTCCTGGGGGAAAAAAATGTTTGCTTACAGTTTGTCCCTCTTCTGGTATTTCTGTTTAATCTCATTCCCTATATCTATAGTTTTGCTTCCAAGAAATAATGTGACAGTCATTAAAGTAAACATTCCTTCTAAAATCTGTCAATCACTGTCGACATTTTTTCTATGTTTTATAACATTTTGCACTTCTAGAAACACAATCTTTCCATCCTTTGCTAAATGTCACAGATAGTATAAAATACTATTCTAAGTAAAATAGTTTTTTTCACTTTTTAAAAAAGCACAAATTTATATCCCAGAAAAAGAGAAAGTAAGTGATAGTTCTGTATCTTTTCAAGTGTTGCAAAAATCAGAATACAATATTAGTAAGACATGTTTCCAACACAGCCGTGTCTCCTCTAAAAGTCAGAAGTTTCAATTATTTACTATTGCAGGTTACTCTCTAAATTCATTTGTCTTGAGTTAAAAGCACAGCAAACAGAACTGAAACTATGATGATAGCTTGAACAATTTCTGTTCTGCCATGGAACAGTGTTTTCTTTCTTCAGTGTCCCTTCTGAGGCTTTTCAAAGCTAATCTGTTACAAAGTAAAGCTGCTCATTTATTTCTCAAGGGTTTTTTTTTATTCCCTGATAAGTTCTTTTAAAAATTTAAAAATATATAATAAAACTATTCAGATTTGGTTTAAAAAATATTATTATTCATGTCATCTAAGAAACAGTTGGATGAAATGTCTTTTTAGGCTACCTTAAATATTTTTGATGAAGCACTTCTCTGTTGAGAAAATTTTACTTCATTGGAATCAAAATATTAATGGAAATGTATTATCTTGATAGACTTAATTGGGAGTGCCAAGCATGCCCGAGGTTTCAATCACACTCATTCTATTCATTTGTGTAGGTGTGTGGACAACAACTGACTTGGATTGGCCAATCCAAATTTCTTGATTATCCTTTGTGCAAAATGACCCCTCTCTTTATACAAAATGTGAAGAACATTATTTGTGTAATTAAAAAATACTCATCTGGCAATATCCTTGAACACTTGAATTTACTACTCATCTCAGAGATTTACATTTCAAAAGCAAATATATTTCAGAAGTTTTTGCTTTGTTTATTTTGGTTTTATCTGAGAAATATGTTCCTTTTTTCCTAGTAATAGAGAAGCTTGGATTACAGTTTCTAAATTGCTATGCATAGAGCAATTCCAAATAGCATGCAAATTTGCTTCAGAACGAAAGTGGCATTGTTGACAAACAATTTGAATGCAGTGTTATGGCAGTACTAAGAAAGCTTCTTTCAATCTTCACAAAAAGTTAAGCAGGAAAAATATAAAGTATCTGTCAGTCACTGGTGTGGGGAATTTTTCAAAAGTGCTTAAGGCAGTTCTTTGCAGGTTTTAAGACATTGCTTTAGTGAGGATTTCCATTTTCAATCAAATATGTGTCTCTGAGTTCTGCATACATGACTGATATTAATCAGCTGCCTACATTTGTTGTCCAAAGACTGAATCACTCCAAATCAGAAATAAACCCTGATCTAAGTTTTAATACTTCGCATGGAGAGACTCTGGGATTTTCACTTCTGCTTCCCTAGAGGTGCCTGCCAAAAGATAGCATTTCTTATTGCCAGTCAGTCCTCCGTAGAAGGCATCAAGAATGGCTGAAATTAGTCATTCACCAATGTGACTAGCAGGAACAGCAGAAAATTAAGAGCTCTGGTTATGATTGTGCTCCTGTTGTTCCATACCTAGTGTGTTAGCTCCCCTGCTTGACTGCAGGTTTCCTGGTGAAATGCTAGTCTAGTTTGATTCTTCATGTGTGTTGTCTTTCCAGCAGAGGTGTTGAAAAAGGGGATTTCAGAAAATTCCATGGTATGTGCTGAAGTGCCAGCCACACTTCTGAAGGATGGGGCTTTTAGTAAAAGTAGAGACTGGAAATATAAAAAAAGTTTCTGCTGCTGCAAGCCAGACAGAGGTAATGGAAACAGTTGTGCCTGTGTCTCCCTTGGTGAACCATTCTTTTCAATCTTTCTTCTGAGACAGACTATCAGCAGTGATGAAACTGTTTGGAATTGAGAGCTACATCCCCAGGCCAGCTGAAAAGGACACAAAACACAGGATTCAAAGGTAGATCATCCTCCAGGCTCTTTGTGGTTCCTGTTACAGAGGGATGACATCTGTGTCCCAGTTTGCAGAACACTTCAGCTAGAAAGTGATATCTTTGCCCCATCCCCTGAAATACAGGCCAGTCATTTTCAAATTCTTTCCTTTTGTCAGTGGTCTAAGACCTGTGTTATATGCAGCCATATGTGATTTTATCCTAAATTTTGACACACAAAAAATCAGTCACAGTCCTTAGAAAATAAAGGTTAAAAAATGTTTGATGTTGACCTGAGCAAAAAGAACAAATCCCAACAGTGCTAAGCCATTGTGGCAGAAGGATGAAAACTTTTATTTTCCTGGGTTTGGGGTTTTTTGGGGAGGATGGCTTATTATCATGATCTTTCAAGGTAATACTTATCTAAAGACATGTCAATTACAGTGCTTTCTGCTCATAATAATGAAGAAATTCCAGAAAGGTAAAGGATTCATAATATTTTGGTTTTAGCAGTGTCTTTGACCAGTCCACTCAGCAGCGTTTCTCTTTTTTCCCAAATGTCACACTATTGAACAGCATTCTGGTCTCAGCTTCCCATGCTAAAATGAGAAGTTTAAAATTCTCTTTAGTTTTTTTCCATTCCCTTCTATTGTAAGCAGGAAATGTGTTTTGGAATGGCAAGGACTTCAGTGTCTCTAGTAATCTGTCATTGGAATTCCAACATGGTCATGTTCATCCTAAGAATCAGGAAAATTTACAAGAACTGCAGAATTTCAGTAGGAAGGTATCACTGAATACATAAACAGCAAGTGTATGGGGCAAGTTCTTTGTTCTCTTTGGCCGTGTGAGCAATGACAGACTTCCACTGCCAGAGATAGCATGTGTGCCACAGCTGACCCTACCCCTTGTGGACATTCCTCCCTTCCCACCCCAGGACTGTGGGTGAACTGGCACCCATGGAGGTGCAAGTCTCACAAACAAAATATGTCAGTGAAGCAGACTGAGGAGATAATTTGGTTAAAAAGAGTTAGTTGAGCTCTCCAGCGGGATAATAATCTGTGCTCCTCCTAGTTCTCCATGTGATAAAAATAAAAGATTTTTCCTTGAGATTTAGTCACTCTTGCAAGTAGAATATATTAAATCCATTTCCTTTACCTTTGTCCCTTCTTCCATGTGTAACCTCGCTAATGTCATTTAGTATCAGTTTGCTTCACATTAAGTCAGTTTGAAGTTTTTAATGGACTTCATAGCTCTTCTTGCTGTTCAAGTGCTCTCAGCAACACAGAGTCATGCAAATCTCTGCAAGTTAATAACCATTCATACAGCCTCCTAAAATGTTTTAGCCATTTCTAAATTTATCATTTATTACAGTGCTACGGACACTAAGGGTATCAAATTATTAAGAAAATTGTTATCAGAGATTTAGTTAAAAGGAAACTTTCTCCTTCTATTAGCTTTAGCACTAAGAAAAGAAAATACTTGTTTCTAGGTGTATCCAAGCTGAAGTGACTTGAAATCTGCCTATTTCAATCTGCCTATTTCGATCTGCCTATATATTACTTCTCATATAAGTATATATTTGTAAATACAAGTCTCTCAGTCAGGCTCTATGCAGAACTTTACCATTTGGTAATAGAAATAAAAAGAAAGGAATATGAAAACAGAAATAAAATGGTATCCTATAGAATATGTCATTCAGTGAACACTGTTCCTAGTAGAGTGTCTGTCTCAGTAACCAGCTCTCCATCAAATCTTGAGGGAACATCTAAGGTAAAGTAATGTATAGAAGACTATTGGTTTCAATAGTTTGATAAAAAGAATATATCTGAAAATGAGTTAATTTTTTTCTTGGAAAGTGGAGGACTAGATGCTACGCTATAATTGAATTGCTCCAGAAACTGAAGCCCAGATCTTACCTCTCCATAATATGGGGACACGAAAAACCTGAATCGAGATCTGTACTTAATTCTGTGCATAGAGCTTTTTTTTATTTTTTTGTTTCATCACATATTGAAAATGCAGATATTTATTTGAGCATCAAATTCTGTCCTTTATTTATGCTCCTATGATAGTTTTCGAAAATAACTGATTTTATCCAATGTCACGTAACTGTTGTCCACAAATGTAATGTTTTAAACTCTTTATAAGGACTGAAAAGAGGCATTTTGAGAACTGTTCTCTGCCTAAGCACACCTGCATCCCCAAAGCTTCAGTTAGCATCTTCACAGTCTTAACTATGCACTCAGTACTTTTATCTACCTAATAAGGGTTTGTGGTGACATGAAACTGTGCAAGCAAAATGGTTGCTGATATTCTTCTGAGAAAGTGATTGAGGATCTGAGATAGTGATTAAGAATCAATATGAAAGGACTCTCTTGAAGCTGCACTTGCTGCCACTTTTAATACTAGTTACTACTACTACTACAGTTGGGTGATCGAGTTATTATCTAAAACGGAGAAACCCTGCCTTGAACTGCAGAGCTCTGACAGACATCCAGGACTCTATGAGAGATAGTGCTGAAATGTTGTTCATAATTAGTTCCTTGAGTTGCCACTACTTTAAAAATTGGCTTAGGTTAAACCAATATCAACAATGTGCATGTCTGCTAGTTAAGGCAAGCAGGTGTATCTAGCTATGAGACTTAGCATGCGTGTAGAAAGGATCGATGAAGAGTGACAGAACCTGAGTGCTGCTGCATGTGGATGTTAAATATTTCCTGTTTCTAAATTAAGCCATCTATCATCTCTACTTATCTATTAATTGGTGCTTATAAGCCCTTATGCTGCATGTGCAAGGAAAGATCTCCACAGTAAATGTGGTAAGAACCTGAAGTACACAGCACACAATGCTGTGTTCAGAAATACAGAGTAATGGCCCAATTCATGATCCATGGTCTTGTTAAATTTGGCTCCTGTTGGTTTCAGTATAGAAGAATATGAAAATGCAGGCCTAAATCTGACTCCCTTAAATTATCTCTGGCTTTTCTGATTGCGATGACACTTCACTGCATACTCAGATTTACATATGTATTTATATCTTCTTTTGAATAAAATTTTCATGAAAGGGACTATTAGTCAGAGTATGCAGAATCTGACTTTGTGAAACCAGAATCTATAATCCTGATCCATCCTTTTGTATAAATTATCCCAATTCATAAAAGACTTAATCCTGGATTGAAGGATGACTGCATATGGATTTCTTTGTAGCCAGGGTTTGGTGAATTAGCAACTTAAGAAGAAGACTTGAGCTCCCCTTTTGTGTGCAATGGTGGTTTGGCTGATGAAACATGCAAATGACTTTATAAATCTGCTTTTACATTAATCAGTGTTTAGTCAGCAAGTAGCTCTGTCTCAATTCATGGCTGTTGTCATGCTGTCCACTTCAGTGGAACTCAAGATATGTTCACTGCCCCAAACTAGTATTCTGTCTGTGACATAGCTGCTTGGAGTCAGTTACACCTGGATGGATGCTGGTGTCAAAGGGAGTGAGTGCGAAACCTGGGACCTGCTGCCACTAATTGCAGGCTTTAATTGACTTCACTGGATATTGGAAAATGACCATACATTCAAAAAGACCAAGCTCTGGGACTCAGGACAGTCTGTCTTTTCACAGCCTTCTTATCTGATATCTGATAGATAAAGGTGGGGGAATTGATGTGGCGTAGTTTCTTCTGCTCCTCTTGGAAGGAAAATGGGTCCGGCTGCATCTACACTGATGATATCATTTGAACTGTCAGGTAGTTTTAATGCAACACCTTTCCACTCACTACTCGTGCCTTGGTGTCCTCTCTGATTTGGTTCTGAGGTTCTAGTTTTGGTGCACATGAACGTGTCCTACACACTGGAGTTGTGCTTCAGTGCTTGGGGGAACATTAGGACTGGAGCTCACGAACCTGTCCCCAAGGGCATACCTAATCTGCATGTGCCTACAAAGGATTCTTAACCATCAACAGCTCACAAAGGATCCTGACACACTTCCTGTCCTCCATAACAGAATAAAGAGCATATATGCTTTCCTGTTAGCTCTTGACATCAAGCCCCTAGTCCTTTAAAACCCTGCTGCTCCAGCCTCCTCCATCCATCCTTGTGGTTTGAAATGCTCAACCTTTATCTTCTGTGCTGAACCACATGCTTAACCCCTTATTTCTTTCACCACTTTTTAAAATTATTCCTTTTTCTCCTTCTCTTTTTTGCACTGATAACATCTATGGCCCCTCAAGTGTCTCAGAAAACTAGCACAGTGTAACCTGTGTCCCTGGGGAAATAGTACATCTCATAAATTTGAGCAGTGAGAGAGACAGAAGTGTCTGCAGAAACAGTGTAATTCTGTGGCAATATCAGGAGATATTGCCTTATGAGCACCAGGAGCTAAAGTAGGACTTGTGAGCAGTGCAAGATTAGTGGAGACAATGAAAGTTGCATTCCAGAAGATGAAACACTGCACCATACTTTTGGGCTGATATAGAAGACATGACTGTTCTGGAGAGTTTGAAGATGTCTTTGGATGGGAGCATAGCACAAAGCCTTCCACTCATCTGTTAGTCTGGGCACCATACAGTCTAGAGGACCATGCAGGGCAGTCTGGAGGAGAGCATGATCTCCAGTGCCACTCCATCATGCCTTCTCTTCCTGGATCTGTCTGAATATCACTGAGGAGTATATCTAGGGATACCTCTTTGGCCTGCTCCCACCACAACCACCTTCAACAGTCCCATGAACCAAAGTCTGACCAGGTAAGTGAAGAGTGTTTTAGGCACATCTTTTGATTTGAAGGACAGGCAGTGCACAAGGCTTCTAGGTGGAGTCTGAGGTTTGGGCTCAGAGCTGTGGTGAAAAAGCTGTTTGTCATTTGTCTGCTTAACAGGGTTACAGCATAAAAATGTGCCTTTAGAACCTTAAAATTCCCCTAGGGCTGTGAGCTGTGAGAGAAGTCTTAATGCATAATAATATTTGAAACTGCTTGCCCTGAATGGCTGCCTGGCTCAGCCTTGACAACTGCAGCATCTTGTGAGAATAGAATTCCCCCATT